AACTTTTCAAACTTGGATTTGTAATATTTTGCAGTGTATTTGTCCCTTGAATCACTCTCACCATGATACCACAAAAGTGCTCTTAATGTTCCACCATCTCTAAGAGAAATCTTAACTCTTTTTCTCAATTGTTCATATGGCAAATTTCCAGGAACCCAAGCATGAATTCCAGTCCCAGACCTTGAACATGGCACTAAACCAATTACTCCAAAATTTGGATCTTTTTTTAGAATTGCATTAGCAAAAGCCATACCAGGACCAACTCCACAATTAGAAAGACAATCAACTCCATAATTAAGGGGTTCATGTGCAATTTCCCACTTTGTATTAACTCTAAATCGAAGAATATTATCTGGATTTGGTTGGGATTCAATAGGTACAATACCATCCCAGTAACCATAGCTTACTCCACCTTGACCTGCCATATTGCTTTGACCTGCTAATATAAATATTTGTTTGTTTAATCTGTCAGTGGTTCTACTCGTAATTAGACGATGATCTTTGTCTTTACTACTCATCCAACGTAAGTAAACCAGAACCAAAATAAACATCAAGATTAACAATATTTCTTCGGTTACATTTTGTAACTTGTTGCACTTGAACAACATCTTAATTAATTCGGGAATTCCTCCCCTTAGTTTCTCCTGTTGTCCCACTTATTCACTTCTTATGGTACAAGCAAAATACTAAATAGAAATTAATGATTATGTTGGACTCTAGAATGTCATTGGTTACAATGAATTTTTTCTCACTAGAATTACTTTCCATATTTCTGTCAATTCCCCTTCTTTCTCTGTTTACATGAATTGGAACAACCTGATGTATTAACATGGATTTCATGCTAAGTAACAATATCAATGACAGTTAAGAATATGATATTTTTCTAGCCCTCTTTTTCATTTGTGCATTATTGCGTTAAATATCTTTATCACCTGAAATTAAATGCATTTATTTTTGTTTCTATACTGAGCTTGAGTTCTTATTTTAGTGAGATCTCAAGATAAGAAGTACCTAGCTTGGCAGCTTCAAACAGATATATACATTTCGAAGGGAATTAGTGCATGAACCATAAAATTTTAATTAAGAGAATGCGTGATTCTTTCTATTTTAGACCTAGTACGTACGTTGAATGTAGATTGTTTATGAGGTTGCGGAACTGAAATTTATAGTATGGTATTAGATTTTAGAAAGAATTAGGCTTTGCTCGTTCACGGTTCACACGATAATTACCAAAAATGAATAAACTTTAATTTCCTTAGCTCAAATGTATTACTTCTAGGTCCATCTGTACATGTTTATTGAAGATTGCGTTGTAGTTGAATGTCGGAGAAAAGCTTTTGCATCGACGAATTTGAGTGAAATTTTGAGAAAAAACAGATACAAGTTAGAATCCGTATAGTGCTGATCAACGCTGAGAAAATGTAACGAATTTTCTGTAATATATCAATAGCCGAAAAATATGTTTAATTCTCGAATAGGTTACATTTTACATAAGTTCAATTAAGAGTTGAAACATTAAAGGTTGAATATACTGATCACTTTACTTGCATTAGTTCATTGGTTTATGTTGATTAAACTGTCTTGGCAAAGGTGAATTCAAAATTAATATAAGGTGCACATTGAACTGTTGGAAATCAGATCGATATGTCCATGCACACATAGCAATCCAATTTTCAGAAGCAGCAGATGTTATGTCCACGAAGAGACAAATCCGAAAATAAAGAAGATAAAGAACACCAATTTTAATATGGAAAATCCTTCCAATCGAAGGTAAAAACCACGGGATCCAAAAAGCTCCACTATAACAATAAGAGAATTACAAAAGTCCTCCAAATAGACTACACAACAAGGGCCAACTCTATGAACAACCCACACACCATGCTCAAAGCACCAAAATCTGTGTTCGATGGAAGACTTATAAGAACCAATATCAGATTCCCAATGATGTCACTGATGTTTGACGCAAATAACCAATATTTGGCATCGATTAAGAAACCATCCAAACAAAGCTGCAGCGAGTGGTCCGAAGAAGTTGCATATCTTTCCAAAATGTGTAGGTATATGATTGTTAAATCTATGTGTCCAGTAAGTCTTTATTGCATTGAAAAAGATAGCGAAGTATAACAGTATACCACCAAGCGCGTAGAAACCGATTTTGCAGCTCTTGCTGGTGGATACGAATTTAGTGTGAACCTCCGAAGCAAATGGGTTCCGGTGACCGTTCTACTCCGATGTAGGTCCGCCTCTAGTTATAAGTTGTATCTACCAATTTGAAAAATTTTGTAGTCTATTTTTCCTTAACATTATCATCACCGGTTGTTTAAAGAAATTTTAAAAGGAACAGAAAAAATTTAAGTTTAATCATTCAGCTCTTGAAAAGTCTTGAAAAATCTATCCGCATTTTATGCTAATGTAAAAGCAACTACTCGAAATCATCAAGAAGCCATTATAAGAATATACTCAAGGTAAAAAAACAGATTCGAAAATGAAATCTCTATAATAAAGAATTGGAAGAGAGCGAGAAATTCGCAATTCGTCTCTCTACACATTTTTTAGAGAGAGTGAAGTAGTAGCCTATGGTACAAAGACAAGAAAATCCAGAATCATTGGTCAACAAATGTTCGCTAATTAATGAGTATTGTTTCACTTCTGCTCTTTCAGCTTCTAGCAAGTCAATATTTTTTAGTTTATACAGTTCATCAAATATAGATATCATACATAACTGTGTGTTGGTTACGTCTAGGTGGCAAACGGGCGGGTCAGGTCGGATATGGGCCAGGCCGAAACGGATAATAAAAAACGGATGAATTATCCGATTCGACCCATATTTAATACGGATAAAAAATGAGTTAACCGGCAGATAATATGGGTAACCATAGTATCCATGGCTTTATGAGTATGATCATTTTGGGGAGAATTCCTAGTCTCCCAAACTTGAGGAACCCTCAATTTCAGGTTTTGCAAATGCAAAAGTTAAACTCATTGACTATCCATTTTCTAAATAGATAATATAGTTCATTATCCAACCAATTTTTTAGTAGATAATATGAGTGGTTAACTGTTTTCTTTTAACCATCTAGTTACGTCTATGATTAACATGTCAATGACTGTCTTCTTTTATGATTTCATATGACCTGTTTAAGAAAAATAGAGACCGGATAAATTAAAATAAATTGATTGAAAAGAAATTCATGAATTTTAGAAACATGTCTCAGAAGGAGCAACATACACAAGGTTTCTGAATTTCGTATAATGCTGAAAAAAATTAAGAGAATATATTAAAAGGTAAAACATATCTATTTAGAAAGGGAAAATTATTAAATCTGAGAAATGCATGAGCAAAGATATGACCAAGTTGAACTTGGGCAGGGGTAGTGATATGGAGGCCATCTGGACCCAATTCTAGTCCCTCTGCATCTATTTTTATCACATTTGAGAGGTTAATTCCCAATTGAGCTGCTCTCACTTCTTCTATATATGGCCCGACGAATGGTTCCTTTGGGTATGGTATGATAACCTGTATATATTGTAGTAATAATTAGTCGATTTTAAAGCGACACTAGCATAAAAAGTATTATTAACCACAATCTTTAGTAAGAAATAAATAAAATATGTCTAAAAATTAGAAATCGAAGAAAATTTATGTGACTCTCCAAATAATAATAATAGTGACATTCTTCGCCGTTGGAGAGTGCATTACATAAACTACAACAAACCACAAAAAGCCTTTAGGAAAATGTGAAAATTTTGACAATCAAACCTCTCTATAATAGTCTCGTTTGTTTTAATATTTTTTGAATGCTATAGTGTAATACTGTTATAGTGAACATATATAATAACATAACATAAAAAAATGGTCCAAAGAAAATTTAGCCGTTATAATAAAATGTTGTTATGAAGAATGATTGTTATGGCGAGATCTAAATGTACCTCGAAAATGGGGAGGGTAGGAGCATGTAAGTCACTACGCAAGTCTTGAAAGAAGTTGTCCAAGTTTTTCTTATACAAACTTGATGTATTCTTTGCTTTACCATCGCTCTCGCCATGATACCAAAATAATGCCCTAATTGTTCCTCCATTTTTGACAGCAAGTTTTGCTCTTCTAATCAAAGAATCATAAGGACTAAACCCTCGTCTCCATTTGTGTAGTGGTGTCCCTCCTTTAGCACAAGGTACTAGACCTATAACACCAAATTCAGGATCTTTTTTAAGTATCTCATTAGCAAAAGCCATTCCAGGTCCGAGTCCACAAGCACGTAAACAATCAATCCCATAATTCAGTGGCTCATGAGCTCTTTCCCATTTTTCAGCTGCATTGAATCGTAAAATTTTTGGATTTGGTTTACATTCTTGAGGCACAAAACCATCCCAACTTAGATTGGTGACAACACCATTTTCAATTTGCCTATGGACTCCTCCATTTCCAGCCATATTGCTTTGTCCTGCTAATATGAACACTTGTAAATTCTTATTGCCACCTTTGTGGCTTTCTTTCACTTTAACAGGACTCATCACCCAACTTATGTTAAACAAAAACCCAACTAATGTAACAATCAATATAATTTCTTGGCTCTTACCTGGCAACATATTGTAGTGAGTGAACTCTCTCTAGGAAAGAAACGTAGCAGGTTGGAGTGTTAGTTTTGAATCTTCTTGTATTTGTTTATGGGGAAAAGTAATGTCCATGTTCTGTGTATGCATTTTAGGTTGATTATACTAACATTTGTGTAGGATAGCTATTTTGGCACTTCCATAATCAGAAATGGACAAATGAAATGAATCTTAAATGTTTTCTTTGGTAAGCAACTAAACGCATTAACTACTAAGATTGCCTGGTTTTTTTCAAATGTAACATAACAATGAAAAATAATTGTATCGACGCTTTAATAATTTCTCAAAGAAACAATTTCTGAAATGCCATCTGTAACAGGAAGATTAGAAGTTAGCTATAGGGTGCTAAAACAAATTTGCAGAAAAGTTTAGAGCTTAGAACACTCATGTCTTGAAAGGTGGAAATTATAGTCTTTTGGTATTATTAGTGAAAGGAAAGTACAATTGCACCACATGGAATAATAAACTGCATTGGTGAAAGTAGCACATTAATCATCCTGATGAAGGAATAATAAGGACTATTTACATAAATCAGAAATAGCAGAATAATAATCTCTTCTTCAATCTTGTTTTAGTGCATTTCAAGCACTAAAGAAGCACTATACAGAAATCATCATCAGCCATCTTTGTTTGGATCACCTAACTTTCAGCTGGAAATGAGGTTTTGCAAATTCAGTGTACCAAATGAGAGACATCAAGCCGTAGCATGAACTTCTACATTCTCCATTGGCTCAAATTTGCTCTCTCATCCCACAGCATTCTAGCTTGAGACATTTTCAAGAAAAAGGGCTCTTCTTTCCCTCATTTCCGAAGGTACCAATAGGTTTGGCAAGAATGTGCTGCATTGCTTTGACTCCTAGTGGGTTGTTCTTGCTCTGTATCAACAAAGACATGATTCCATAAGTAAAGGAAACAACTTTAACTGTTAAAAAGACTTGCCGAAGACTATATAAGGAGACAACAACACTTCCCCTCAACCAATGCGGGACAATCTAACAATAACAAGCAGAGATCACTTACAATTGAGCAGGTGCCTGCTCTAACATTGCAGACAGGATAATCATGTGGGCAGCAACTGTTATGGTCTTTACAGCAAGTAGCTCCTTCCATGGGACAACAACCCCAAGCAAAGCAGTATTTATAGTACTCGTAGACACAGCAGCACGTCGTTCCAGCTGGGCATTCGTTATAATCATCACATTGAGTGGGTGGCTTGACTGGTGATGGAGGAGATGGAGCTGGTTTTGGGGGGTTTTGGCCTGTCTTTACAGGGTAAGAAGCAATTGTAGCAATACCACACAAACCCTTGGGGTTGCCAATGTTCCGCTGCATCCTGAGGTAGCCATTTTCTCCCCACGAAGCACCCCATGAGTTCCTCACGATCCAATAATCCACGCCATTTTCACTACCATATCCTACTGCAACCACACCATGGTCCACTGCTGCACCACATTTTCCGGTAAAGATACCCTGGGGCATAGGCGAATCCAAGATTTAAACTTAATAGGATCAACATTTAAAGTTTTTAATACTGAACTCACTGTAACTTTGAAAATACAGAAATATTTGTTGGATCTGTGTAAACACTAGCTAATTCGATCAAAAGATAACAAATTTACTGACAATAGGCAAGTAATACCGATTTATAGTGCTGGAAGTCTTTGCCACCAGCTTCGATAGCAACGCTGACGGGTTGACCAGCAACGGCCTTTTTCAGTGCCTTTTCATCATTATCAGGAACATCTTCATACCCGTCGATGGTGACAACCTTGGCATTTTTCTGCAAACAAAATATTAATAGTCACAACTAGTATTTAGTTCATTTCCTATAATCCCTTTAAGACAGAGAACACCATACTGACCCTTGCTTGGTCGCATTTTCCATCTTTGGCTTTGTAAGGGTAGTCTTCTTCAGTGTCTATTCCTCCATTTTTAATGACGAATTTAAAGGCATCGTCCATTAGACCCCCTTGGCAGCCTTGGTTGTCGGAGGTATCACAATCTACCAGCTCTTGTTCGGATAACGAGATCAGATTACCTGTCACTATCTTGTTTACTGCTTCAATTGAAGCAACTGCTGAGAAAGCCCAACAACTCCCTGTTTCATTTCCCAATTGCAACGCCAATTAAGAAGAAAATTATTAGTTGCTTTATGTGATATAAACATCATTTTTTCCTCAGCGTTTACTTATGCATAAAATGGAAGATAATCCAAGCAATCAAGGCTGCATAATTTGCCAACAAATTGACACAACTAGACTTAGTGAAACAAGTCCAAGGGTGTTTGATGGGCGTAGATAGGACTACAGACCAACAAAACCCAGTGAGTTCACACAAGTGACGCAGCCTTACCCCTACCCTGGAAGGGTAGAGAGGCTGTTTCCGATAAACACTCGGTTGGAGCTACAGACCACTGATTAGTAAATATTTAAGGAGCGAGCTAAAAGAAGGATCTCAGAGCAAACTAAGAAAGAACCCCTTTTAGAAATTCAATTTACAAGCATAAGATCTTGAACAATTGGTAGGTACTCCATAATTTTAATTTTAAGGTAAGAGATGCGGAAATTGGAGCAAAAGTTGTCAACTTCATCCTGCTGACCTAATTAATCATACTTAACCTTAAAACTAAAATTTACAATAATGCAGGGTCAACTGAACTTGCCATTAAAATTGATTTTAGATTAAAACTCATGACTCTGTGATTATTTTAATATCTTACCTTATCAAACTACTAAATTTTCCAAATTTCCATCAAAGCCATCAGTAAAGAAGGCATGGACAAATTTTAAACAGAAAATAAGTACGAATAAAAAGGAAAACAAAAACAACAGGTGCAGAGTCAAGGCAGAGGGTAAAAGGAAAATACCACATTGCCCTTGATTTTTGACGTCAACAAGAACACCTTTCTTCCTCCAGTCAACGGAATCCGGCAAACTATCTCCGACCTTAGGGGCATAACGGTCACTTTGGGTATTTAACAACCTGCTACGACCATCGGGCTTAGTACCCAAGTAGATGGACTTGTACTCCTCGTTGGTCAAATCAGCAAACTGAGTCAAACCCAGCTTGTAACTTTTGTCAGGCACAGAGTTATGTTCATCGATGTATCTAAGGTTATCTTTAAAGATCTGAAACCGTTTGTCCTTTTCTCCTAAGGCGTTGTACACTTTTTTATGTTCAACTAGCCAAGATTCATATAAAGACATGACTTCATCGTCTGTTCGCCAGACCGTTGACTCGCCGTTCGTGTGATGTTTTTCGTTGTAGCTTATAATGGACATATCCTCCGCCGATGATGATACGGCGGAGAACATGAGCATTACAAGTATGGAGACGGAGAGAGTGGAAGTATGAATCGCCATGTTTGGTTGTTTAGTACTGAGGTAAGAAAGGGGATGGAAAAAAGTGGAGAAAGAACAGTATTATAAAGGGATGGAAAAGTAGGGATATTTTGGACAATTGGAAAGGTTCATTATTTAATTGTTTATAGAGAACAGATAAGATAGTTGAATATGTAAATTACTTGTAGGAGAAGATTGAATAGGAAAGAGAAAGAGAAAGAAATTAGAAATAGGAAGCAACTAGGAAATGAGGGAGAAGTTGGTTAAACACAAAAAATTCTTCAGAGAGGCAACTACCACGGTGAAAAAAATAATATACTCCCTTGGTTTTAATTTATGTAAATCTATTTGATTGGATAGAAAATTTAAAAAAGTAAATAAATTTTTTGAATATGTGGTATAAAATGAGACACACATTTTATGTGATTATAAATTATTGCATAAAGGTAATTATTTCTAAATATGCAATGGGGTCATTATTTTTAGCACATACTAGAAAGAAATAAATTCACATAAATCGAAATAGAAAATATATTTTTAGCCGTTTTCGAAAATAATAGTTGACAAATATATATATATATATATATATATATATATA